GGGTGCGCGGTGGAGCCTGCCTAGCGGGGGAGACCGATGGGCCGAGATGCGGCCGCAGCCCTCGCCGTGAGCGCAGAAGGGGTCGCGCCTCGCCGCGGAGGGACTGAGGGGATCGCCGCCGCCTTCCCGGGAGCGTGAGGTGGCGAGGAGGGGCGGCGAGACGGCGGAGACCTTTAACGGCATGGGACGCGGCTCTGCCGTAAGCCCGTAGAGCCTGTTACCCGCGCCCCGGCCAGCCGAGGGGCTCTGCTCTGACTGACATTGCTGTGGACGCGGGATCGCGTCTGGATATGTTTCCTTCTCCGCCGGGCTGTTTCTTCGATATCGTGAAGCTGCGTGGGAAATAAGCGTGGTTCCCAGCTTGGTGGGGAGCGTGCCGCCGGTCCTCGGCGGGGGGAGATGCCTCGGGGCTGGGAGGCAGGAGCAGGCGCTTCCCCAGCGGCCGCGGCGCCGTGCCGGCTCCCGAGACATGAAGGCAGGCGGGTGTAATGGAGTAAGAGCGAAGACGGCTCCTCTCATCTGCCGTTCGCCCTTCCAGACGGGATTGTAAACCGAGAGAGCTGAGGAAGGCTGTGCGAAAGAAGGAGGAAATTCCTCTCGTCGGGTTCCCCCCCACCCCCCTTTTTTTTTCTCCTCCTGCTGCCTCGATCCTTGGCTTCCCCAGGTATGACTGCCTCACTGCAGCACCTTGTGCTGGTGCTCTTGCTCTCCAGTGCCACCCTGCTGCTCAGCACTGCGGCTGGTAAGTAGCCAGTGGGTGTAACGAACTAGCCATTTTGGCACAGGGAATGGGGGTGGGGTCCACTGGTATTTGGGCACATCTGTGTCTCCTTAAAAAGTGGTGTGTATCGCTTTCAGCGGCGAAGCCTGATAAAGTTTTGAAATCCCGATATGTTAGGCTTCTCGGAGAATAAAATCTGCTTTATTGTGTAAATGAACTCGACCTGCATTCAAGATGTATGCTCTGCCTAGATCTGCTTCTCTTGTCTAATAACTTATTTCAATTTTGGAAAAATATATAATCTTTTTGTTTTGCATACCTCGCCCTTTGAAAGGCAATGCAGGAATTTTTAATATATATTTTAATCGTCAGCAGAGCTGTGCCTGTTTTGCTGTGGGATCTTTGGGCACAGCCATTTTTAATTTTATCAGCATCGGTGCTTTTAGGGGCCTTAAACATGTGCTGCAGTTTTACAACAGACTTATTGTAATGTTGGTTTTTTTTTTCTTGAAGGAGAGATCTGAAGCAAAAATTTAGCTATTTCTATTGTCACTTGTGATTATAGAACAGTAACGCTGTTGAGGAATGCTGAAAGATCTTGAAGAGTACTTTTTTTTAACGAGAAGTTGGAAGCATATATGCTAAGAGCGTCCTTATTTATATTTCTGGATGCTCTAGACCTATTCTTTTGCCCAGAAGCTCAGTGTCAGATATGTTGGATGTTTGGCCGTGATACTGGAAGAGAGAGGTGTATTGGTCTGGCATCCTTTGGTTTTCTGTCATTGTGACAGATTGGCATGTTGGAGCCTTCTGAGTGTTACCCAGCTTTGTTAGGTACTAATACCTATTCTCCTTGCAGTATGCATTTTCCAGCAGTTCTGGAAGACTCCTAGGACTTTGGTGTCTTTTTACTAATTGGGATCAAATTTGCAGTGCTTGCTTTTTTTAAGTGTTATTTTTTATTCTAATGTGTATAAATCATAAATGAATCTTTGTGAGAAAATTGCTGTCTCTTGTGAGGATGACCCAGCAAGCTGATGGTAGTTTCTGTAGTACATTTCAGTGAGGTCTTAAAATTGAATTATTTCTCATAGTTGAAGATACTTGGAGTCATTATTAAGAAAATACTGTAAATTATACATGTTTAGGCAGTTTCTTCATCACTCTGGCTGGATAGTCCCCAGTTGTCTCACTTCTGCTTTTTCAGAGGTCTCTTTTAGGAGGATATTTAAATGAAAAGATTGATGCTGCCTATATCATCCTGACCTTTGACTGCCATTATTTTAGACTGATGTCTGCAGCGTCTTTCTGTGGTAGTTTCAGAGGCCCGTGGGGTTTTTTTTGTGTGTGTTTTTTTTTTTTTTGTCTGAAAGAAGGGACTTCTGAAGGTCAAAAATCTTGGTATTAAAGCATGTATAAACACGAATGCCCAGCATCTCAACTTTTCTTTCAAATACAATTTTTTGTAAGCCTATGCTTTTTCTCCCTTTTGTGAAACTTCAGTGAGTTGGCAGTTTCTGTGCCGTGATGAAGGAAAAGGGTTACTGAAGGAGCAAGTATGGATTTGAACCAGGCCAAGGGCTGGGCAGGTGTGGTATGAGCCTATTTACACGGTTTTGCCAATTCACCTCATTCCTGACCTGGCAACAGCATTCCCAGTATTTCAGTTCTGGTTTTGCCTTGTTAAAAAGGTATTAACGATGCCAGCTTGTTTGGTTGTTTTGTGAATTTTCCCGTTGTGATTTACTTCTTAATTGTGAAATTTTAACAATCCACATTTTAAAAAACCTTGGTCATAATCCTCTGTAAAAGTAATTACATGGGTGATTTGAGCTTTAGTTAAAGTAACTAATGGTTGATTTTAAGTTTACACTGCATTTCAGAAAAAAAATAAATGTCTATACATGGGGAGGCTACACTAATGTGTAGTTCTGCCCTTTTATGTTCATGAAAGAGCCAACACTCTTTCTTCTCTTCCCCTCCCCCAGAGTATGAACTGTATGCTCAGAGTGAAAATGCTGCCTTTGTAGCTTTGAAGCCCCTATTAATTCTTACTTCTGATTAGTTAATGGATACTATATCTCAGCAGCGTATGGAACTGAGTGTTTATAAATGAAAAATCATAACATCAAAGTAAAAGTATTTTCATAACAGGTTTGTAAGTTTCTGTGTGGAGGGGAGTATCTGGACCTCCTTGGGGAGAGCTCCACAAAGACTTGGGCATAGTATGGGCAGGAAGAGAAAGATGTAAAGATGTGTAAAGTAGATGACAAAAAAAACCCCAACCCAACAACCTTACACTGGGGCTGTAGATGGCTGTTTCACTCGTATTCTGGAATATGAATGAAGAAAGAAGGTGGTTCTTCATTCACCTTTGTAATTGAAGATATAACTAGCTCTAGATTCAGAATTATTTGCTGATTATTAGGGGGAAAATACTACTAATTTTCTCCATAAAATCCAGATCTTAACAGGTATCTGGTAACTCTGTATTTAAATCATGTATTAGTCCTTGTAAAGAGAAATGCTACAGTAAGGTCATTTCACTGATACTACTCTTAGGTAAAAATTTGGGGGTGTAAAAAGTTACGTTGGAAAAAAATGGTTTGTGCCACTTTGTTTCTCAAATAACTTGAGATACCTCTTCCTTAAGTTTTTGTTGAGAACTGTAAGACATATTTATACGCCCTTTTATTTTAGAGGGTTTGGATGCGTTAATCCATGAGGGTTGTGTCTCAAGAGGTGGTTGGTGAAAACTTTGAGCTGTTCCCCAGTATGGCTAAAGAATTTTGTTAGGGTGTTCATATGGACCTGATATTAAAGATATAATCTTTCCTCATTTCACTTGCTTGCCCTCTGCGATATGCAATACTAAACCACTTTTCCTTCTTTATACATATTCAGGGTAGACAGCATTCCATTGTCTAGTGTGTAAATTATTTGTGGAACGTATAAAGTGAAAATTAAAGTAAACAGAATATCCTTTTATCTTTGTGAATCTTTCCATAAGTCTCCATCTGTGTGGTTCAACAGGACTGCAGAAATTTCAGTGTGAATGGAACTGGATGGAGATTGAAGTATTTTTTTAATGATAATTGTAATTATTAATTCTGTCTTGCCAGTTAAAGTTACTTTAGTATCTCAACATAATTTGTTTGAAATATCAATTGTTTGACATGAGGAAAAGCCTCCTTTGGCTATTCAGCTCAGCTCAGTTCTTCTAATTCAGTGCTTTGAGTCACATCACATGTATACAATGCTTTGAATTAGTAACTAACTTTATGTATCTTGCATATTAAAGAGGGTTTTTTTAAACCATTCTACCCCCCTCTTTACTAGAGCTATAGCTATTGTTTATGGCTCATTCATAAGTAATATAAAATTAAATTTATTTTTCTGTTTGACTTGAGAGCTGTCAGAAATACTAGCCTAGCAGATAGAAACAGACTGTTTGCTTGAGGGGCACGAACTGGTATGCTTGATGGATAAAGCACACGTACAAGTGCAGCCTGTATGCCAGACTAGGGTTTCATTAACTGTCTAGTTGTGTAAAGAAGTAGTGTAGCTATGAAAGCACAGTATTCTGCACAGAGCCATTCACCCAGCTGAGAAGAGGCTTTTTTCTATTAGGTAAATCATCCTGTATGAACCTCTGTGATATTGCAGCTAAGCTGCTCCCAGTTTCCAAGCAAACTTCAGTATTTCTGTATGGCACTGTGTGGTGTAGGCATAGCCTGTGAGGAAATAGAAGCTGGTGTTCATCTGATGGCCAAGGAGCCCAAATTTCAAGCCCGAGACATTACACAGATGCCTCGCTTCAGTATGAATGGTTTTACTCTCAAAGGAACCATGTGTAAAAGGTTGGCTAAATTATCTGCCTGTCCTTGTCTGATGAAGGCAGGCAAACCTCACTTCACCCTGGACAAAGAGGGAAGCATGACTGTATTACTTATGATTATTCTTTTGGTGAACTTTATACAAAGTAGTTGTTTTGATGGCACCTCTCTAGCACATATTACAAACTTCTCTAAAATAATGTGTTGACTTTTACGTGGTTGTCCCCCCTGCCTTTTTGTATTCCATTAAGTATTTCTCAGTAGTCTGTATACTACTGAGAAAGCCAAGGCATTGTTTCCTTGGCAGACACCACCTTCCTCTCTTCTTACCAGGCGGATAAGAAAGTTGGTTCTTCAGATATGTTTTACTCCTAACAGTGGAGTGCATGGCTTACTGTCACTGGAGCTATATTGTGTTTGGACTCAGTCTGGCTATGCCATGAACATGGGCTGTCATTTTCTGAGCAGACTCTTAACTTTCCCAGCCAGGGCTTTGTGTAAGTGGTGTGTAAAATTTCATTCAGAACAAAATGTTTATGCCCTGAATAAAACAGGCTTGGCGATGCTTTATGTTGGCTAGGACAGGAATCTCTGCATAGCTTACAGGCAGTTTTAAGTACTACTTTTATTAAGCTTGTAGACTTAGTGGACCTGCTTACTGCTTACAATTGAATTTAAAAATAAGTGAAATAAAAGAATTGTTCTCCAAAACACCAACATTTCAGCACACAAACTGATTTTCTGTGTCGTCTTTGTTTTCTTTTTCTTTTTTTATTTTTTTTTTTCTCTGAAGCATAAGTTCGCAGAAGTGTAAGGCTGGAAGTGACTTTTCTTGTGTTTCCTCCATGGTCTGGTTGCATAAGCACAGATAACGATGTTTGTCTAACATCTCTAAAATATCCAGCGAAGAGGGATTTCACAGCCTGTCTAGGTAGTCTGTGCTTCTACAGTGCTTAATTATCATGTTTTTCATAATGCAACAGTAGTAGTTTTCTTCCCCTTCTGTTCTAATGCAAGATTGTTTAAGATATGCCTTAATTAATATGTGTAGCAATCCATCTGAACATACAGCATGGAGTATGCACACAGACAATTTCCAGGGAACATCAGTCTTGGTAAGTTCATATGTTGAAGCCTAGTGTCTCAAACCTGACTACAGTAATTTCTGATGGGAAGCTTGAAACAGTAATTTGTGATGGGAAGCTTGAGTAGACTATCAGTGTTTTAAAATGATCTTTTTGCAATTAACACACACCCCCCCCCGGTTTTGAAAACTTATGCTCTTCCTAAAATTTTGATTTCTGATGGTGTTCTCCTGATTTTGAGGGGTCTGTTAATCGCAGAGCTGGGAACTGGACTGAGCAGGAGGAGTGGAATCTGAGAGGAGAGGTCAGTCTGGGTGTGTGACCAGGAGGAAGAAAGGCTAGCAGAACAGGAGGGATTTCAAAGGACAAAGGATTCAATCTGATTTGCAGTAGGATGACAACCAGGGCGTAGTAGACAGCCAGACAGATCTTCCATTTGTCAGAATTGTTTGGAGCATGAGTGCCTGCAGTTTTGTGGTGGAACGAAGTTTTTGCACTGGGAAGGAGGAAGAATGTATAGTTATAGGTAGCAGTTTTGAAGATTTCTGTTCTCGCTTTTGAGAATGAATGAGACACCTAGTTATATAGATAATACCTTTACCCTCCTCCTTTTTCCTCAGTCTCATAAGTTTGGAAACCACGGGGGGTTTGTGTGGTGATGTCATTTTATTTCAAGTCATTGGGGTGTGTCAGTTTTGTTGATTGCCTTCTTAGGTTTACATCAAATCACATTTTTTGTTTTGAACTCTAAAGGTTTCTGCCTTCTGATTTGCTCAGTACTATGTGTTTTCTCTTTTGTTTCTTATTTCTGTGAGAGAGAGAGAGAGAGAGAGAGGGAAAAGTGGGTGCTATGGACACAGAAGACTGTCACTGCAACCTGTGAACCCTTCCATCCCCACCATTAACTTCTGAATCTGCTGGCCAATTTTAACCATATGTGAAAGATGCTAAAAGTCTCAAGAGATTAATTTGCTACTGCTTTCATGGAAATTAGGAACTGAATAGAGGATACAGTTCCAAGGTAGAGATTTCCCAAGGGGAAAGCAGAGCAGAACTCAGCTCAGGTAATTCTCTCTGCTCAAAGCTGGCTGCCTAGTCAATGCAGGGATGCTGGCAAGCGTGCTGGTGCATACACTGTTCTGGACTAAACATAGTATATTTTGTCTTCTCTTCACTCGACATGCTGTAGGAGATCTGGGGGAGAATTGGGAGTCCCTTTTCTGGGAGGGTGGGAGTTGGGTAAGAAGTGTGGGAGAAAGGGCATGTTTATAGGCAATTAGTCTGCTGCTTGTGGAACAATTTGTGTTTCTGAGACAAGGTACTAGGCAGCTTTTTTAACTGAACTTCCAAAACAACGGCCAAATCACTTTACTGAATGGCTATCATCCATTTAGGACTTCACATTGTGTATGAGTAACTTGCAGTTTAGGGTATGTATTGTTTTTCACACTTTCAAAACTGAATTTAGTTCACTATCCTGTGTATAGACTTAGCTTTAGCGAAGATTTCTCATACATTACACTTCCTTACAATCTTTTTCCAACAGTGCTGTAACTTCTACTTTTCCTGTGGTCCCTTTGAATGTTTTTGTTACATAGTGTACTTGCTTGAACCCTGAAGTGTATGAAAAATAGTTCTATTATTTGTGTTAAGCAGCAGTAATAATAAGGCATGTACTGTCACCTTCTGGGTCAGAGTAAATGGTGGGCAATGACACAGCTAGTGGTATAGTGAACCTCTGAGCTGATGTACTGACTATTAACTGGCAAGTGGTTTAGGGAATGCTAGCAGTGCTGCACAGCAGCTCTTAATAGTATGTTCAGCCAAAAGCTGGTACTACATTTATGCTCCTTGTTCTACTAGATATACTTTTTCTGTTTTGAGTTGTAAGCAGGATGGGTGTAAGAAAATATGGGTAAGAAGCTTTTTTTTTTTCTTCTCAAGTGAGATGACTGAAAGTATAATCGTAGGTCATGTATGTTAATTGGGCTCCTTAATTTATACATTAGAGAATGTAGTGCTTAATTAATAGCAAAGTATCGGGCGTTGGCAGTGTCATCTCTCAAGCTCGTTGTTGTTGGCATGAAGTACATTTCCCTCTGCTTAAGTCACAAAGGTCAGGTTCACCTGGTGTGAGAAGCTTTAATGTAGTTCAGTGACAAGAAAGACTGACTAAACATGCTCCACTGCTCTTGCTTTTGCCTTATCAGACATACTCAGTTTGGCTTGCTTTCTGTTAAAACTATTTTATTTCTGCAACCAAAGCAGCATGGGTACAGATACCTGGAACAAAACTGCTAGGCTACCTGTGTTAGAGAACCTTAATCAGGTTTTCCAAGAATTTAAGATAATCCACAATCCTTTGCTATTCTGAAATTTGTTAGGCTTGACAAACATATATTGGGAAAAATAATGGGTTGTGTTACTGTTCAAGCTATTTTCTATAGTCATGGTTATATTAAATAATCTCACAGGGATATGTTTAGTTGTCCACGGCTAAAAATTTTTTGCTTTTGTTAATGATGGAGTGGTTCTGTTGTAGTTAGTTTGTTGCTGAATCTACTTGAGTATTAATCCTCCTGGTACTATCCTTCAGAGAGAAGTCAGTAAAGCTGATGTAGTTGGAGGGCTTTGTGTTCCTATACCTTCTAAGTTGCAAAAATCTTCGTGTGGACATACTATACACCATAAATATGTGCTATATGCTGTGAATTTTGCTAGTCCTTTTATTTGTTTAAAACCTAAACACCAGAAATTACTTCTCCATGTTTATTCTGTAGACAAGGGACCTTCTTAGCTGAGAATTAGAGTTTTTTATGATTACTGGTTCATAAATATAAATTTTCATTATGTTTATCTGTCTGAGATGTGAATAATATGTAGAGCCAATATAACAAACTGAAGAAAACTAAGATTGTAGTAGGAAATTGTAGCACCTATCTTTTTAGTTAGACTGTGGCACCGCTATGTATCTCCAGATCAGGCACTTAGCCAAAGAACAATCCTTCTGCGTTAAAATAATTTCAGTTGCAGTCAGAGAAGGATAAAGGGAACCCCGTAATGAAGTTTGTCTGGATGCCACCATGGTGTCAGTTTCTTACATTTGCTTGTTTAAAGTTCTTTCCCTTTATTTCTAGCTGTAATGGCCCAGGCCAGGGAGCTGTAGCCCGAGCAGCTGCCATGATTGAAATAGCCCACACAGGCCTGGGCTCTGCCAGCTGTAACAGGAGACAAGCGCTGGGTCAGGGCACACACTCCTGTCTCACAGGGCTTGCTCCTGGTATTTGAGTAGGACTGGGCTGCGAAGTGGAAGAACTTGTTCCAGGGTTCTCTGCTATTCTGGCTCTGCTTTGCAGGCTGGGATGAATGACTCCATGAATCTAAATGAGTGAAAAGAAAAAAAAAAAAAAAAACAAACAAACGTGGAAACACCAGCTTAAATAATTTCTCATGCCCACTGCAGCAGTATTTGGATCTCTCTGTAAACTTTTTTACATATGACATGCAAATCCCTGATTCTAGTGTGTATTGCACAGATAGAGTGAAGATGACTTGTAATACATATATATGTGTGTGTCTGTATGTATATAGCCTTACGTACTCAATATGTTACCCAAATTCAAGCAAACCAATCTGCTTCACTGCTAAAACCTAGTATTTTAATATTAGCAAATTAGCTGGGTTTTGGTGTTCCTAATTTCCAAAAAGTCCTTACAAACAGCTTATTTTGTGTAACTGGTGAACTTTACACTTAATAATTACATGTAGATTCTACCAGGACCTGTTAAATAATTTCTTCTTTAGTCATACTAAGATGAATCTGGCCTAACTAAATTTTAGTTAAATTTAGTCTGTAGTAGTTAATGCTGTTGCAGCAGAACACAGTTATTTGGCTACCATTGTTTTAGCTAAGAATTAAAAATCTAGTAAATGTTTTTTCGGAATTTTTCAGTACAAACAGAAATATCTTAAATGGCAAATAGAGAGAATTCTTTGCTTTTATTGTTTCCTGTCAGAGAATGAATGATGAAACTGTCAGCAAATTTAGCCTCCCTTATTTTAAGAAGTAGTGGAATAGAATGTTTGTGTGCAAAACAAATAAACCCCTAATTGTTATTTTTACTCATATGTATGCAGTCTCTATAATGCTACCTAAAATTGAAGTTGTGGCCTTTGGGCACAGGAATACACAGTCCAAATATGACACAAAGTAGTAAATAAATTTTAAAAATGAAGATAAGGTGTGTAAAATAAGGAAGACTAGTGATATTATAATAATATAACAATTCAAACAACTTAATGTTTTCACTTTGGGAATGCAAGAATATTTTCTTCTCTCTTTCCTCTGTGCAGGTTAAAAAAAAAAAGGGTACTAATAAGACACTTGAATAGTAAGTAGTGCCATAATATATGAGACTGGCAAGCATATTCGGAGCAGAAGCCACTTCACTGAGGAAATCTACAGGTGTTGAAGCAGGAATGCAGTAAAATGGATGTTGAATTGGGTTGCTCTCAGGAATTGAAGAGTTAAATGTGAAAGCAACTATTCAGATGACATGTACTTTGAAGCAGTCATCAAAACAAAGCCCTTCGTCTTGAAGCAAGTGAAGGTCTGCAAAAGGAGACGGATACCAAAGTGATATCATGGACAACTTGATTTTCTTGACTGGTTTTGGAGGGGTGGAAGAAGGGTTAGTAACAAAAGAGCTGGGTTGAGAACATTAGACATGCAGAGAAATAAAGAATGGGCTTTTAACATGTTGTAAACGAAACTGAACCAAGGGAAGATGATTGGTGGTAAGGTCAAAAAGCTCCACAGTTAATTAAGAGTCTCATTAAAAATTGAGGGACTAATTGGGAAGAATGGTGAAATGTGTGTAGCACACAGGGCAGGTCTTACACTCTTACACATTCTGCATGTCCTGTTACAAAAAGAAGCTTGCACTAGCTGAGTGAGAAAGCATCTAGAATTGCCAGTAAATCCAGAATATATCCTCTAGAACTGTGTCTGAACTGCACTGTGTGTGGCTAGTACCCATCAAAATAACAGCTTTTTTTATTTGAACTGGCAGTGTAAAGAAACAGATAAAAACTAAAATTTTAACACTTAGAAAATGTTTTTATGTGGCAAATAATGCAAATCTTTATACAAAGAACCTGAATAATCCACAGTTATACTAACTGAAATAAGAATTTGCATAGAATCTGAATCCTTTTTATGACTTTACCTCCTTCCATTTGCTTAGAATTAATCTTTCCTAAAATTGTTGTTAAATATTTGTGAAAATCAGTGCAGTGTCTTAGGTAATGCTTAATTAAAGTGATTGAATGGCGATGGAGTTTTACAAATAGTACCTATGTTTTAATGTTGCTTTACTGCTAACAAGAAGAGCTTGTCTTTGGTGGCAGGTTTCATGTATTTGTTTTGCATATGGTATCTTTTCTGCCAACTTCAAATCTTAAAATGTAGTTTTCAGACACCAGGATTTGACGTACATGTAATGACGCTGTTATATACCACTTCCAATCTTCCTGCAATATGTTCATGCATATAATGCAAAATAAAAACCAAGCAAGAGACATCAACAGCCTTTAGCCAGCCTTCTAATTGTAGTTAATCAAGATAATTCTAAATACTGAACTTATTGCTGTATCAGCTAACTTGTCTTCTGTATCTGATTGCTGAGGGGAAAATTAAAATTTATGTGAATGCTCTGTATTTAAATGGAAATTTAAATACGTTACTTTTCCCTTTCTTTGCTTAAGTGATGCCAGTTATGAACCTCTCCACTGTTTGTTTTTTTTCCACATATTTTTGTGTTCATGCTATAAGCTTAAAACCAGAATCGCTGTGGGACAATTAATTTCAGTAGAGTTATATTCTATTTTCAGGTGCTTATTATATAAAAAGCTGGTGTAATCCCATCAGCCTTTTTAGTAGTATTCTTAATAATTTATTCATTTAGACAAATTTACAATTAGTTCTTTGAACTTGACACAGGTTTTTGGAGATCAGGCATTTTGGTGTGACTATTAAGAAACACTGAGAAGTAAGCCCATTGCAATATCCTTGCTTTTCCAGATAAAAGTAGACACGCTGACTGCATGTTTAACAGTGTTATTACAGGACAAGATATTTATGTCTTGATTCTTCTAGATTTGCCCACCCTTCTCTGCCCTTGGTTGTATTATTCTTTTTAGGATGGTTAGAATAAGCATTTAATTAATTTACCTTTATGTTACTGATGTGCTTTCAACATATAATTGCAACTAAATAGTTTAAAATAATCTAGGAATGCCACATACAGTTATTACTTTTAGCTGAAATATATAATAACAAATGAGGATGACATATGTGATGAAATCTGATTGTAAATTCCTTTGTGGCAATTACATAAAGCAGTTAGTTTCAGTGCTTAATTGATAACAGTGGGGCTTGCTTCACTTCCGTGAGGTGTGGGAATATGAGGTGCAGAGGTAACTGCATTCCATCAAATTTCAGTCTAGACAGGCAGGAGAGCATCATTCATCCTGTACCAAACAAGGAAGGCTAATCACCTTCTCAAGTGACCTTGCAGCTAAAGAATGTGCTGTGGTGGGCACACAGAAAGGCAAGTCAAGAGCTCAGATCACCAGCAGTACTTTTCCTAAAGTTAAGGGTCTTGACTTGAAAGGATGCTATCTGGATTGCAGAATGTTTGTTTCCTCTCATTTCATAGGAGTGGTGGTTTTTGAAAGAAATGGTTTAATGAAGTGCTGTACAGTTAATTATATTTTATTGAAGGAAAAGCTTGTTATCTAGTTGAGATGGGAGGAAGTTTGAAGTACAGTTTTATAGCAAAACATGTTAGGAAACACTATTGGAGACTCATCTCCCTCCCTTAATTGAAGAGTAGTAGGGTGAGCTTTGACTTTTTCAAACAAGGTTTCCAAGTAAAGGCCCTTTTATTTATTTATTTATTTATTACAAAAGGGATTTGTCTACCTCTAAGGCATACCAAAATTCAAAGGTAAAGTGTGATGTAGCATGAGCTGAGCCCCGTTTAATTAGTTCTGCTGGATTTGTTAACCTGATTTCTGCATAGACACTACAAGAATTAGTTGGGGAGGACTGCTGAGAGGAAAAATGGTGGAGCTATTGAGGAAACTGTGGAAAGGTATTTTGAAGTTTTCTCAGTGATGTGAGGACAAACGGTGAGTAGCAGATGCCCCTGATAGCATAGTGGGCACAAGTAGCGAGATGCAAGCTCGACAATAAATGTTAAGAACTCACGAACAGAGACGTGTAAAGGAACAGGATCAGTTCAGATGGAAGCTAGTTTGCCAGCTGCTTTGCTGTGATTGCCTGTGTGCATGCTCCTAACCTGCAGTAAGTGTAAGATAGCTCTTAGAGAGAAGTTGTGAGGGTGCACATGCAAAGCTGCTGCAGGAAAAATTAAGTAAATTCCCACTGTAATTTAATATTTTATCTCATCCGGCTTTGTGGACATCACTCCTTTCCCCTTGTCAATTGTTCTGCTTGAACAGGAGATGATTAATAATCCTTCTGCAGTTTAAGAGCCAAGTGGAGCATTTAAGGGAAGCTGCAAATGTTTTATTTAGCAGAGGATGAGCATAATTTTATAGTTTTGTTTTTCAGTAGTAAAACCAGAATTACCTAAAAGCAGAGCATTCAAAACAAACATGAAATCAGTCATGTAACAACCCCCCCCCCCAAGTCATTATTATAACTGTCTGACCATAATTCAGCTGCTTTGTTCATAACCATGACTCTTTTCATAAAGTATTTTTCTCTTCAGGATTTCTGCCTCATTTGGTGCAAAAAGGGGTAATATTAAGCTCTTGCAGAGAATAGACTTTTGCAGTTGCAGACCTTCCTGCTTCTGTTTTTCCCCTGGATGCTATATCCCCCAGTTCAGAGGTGGTTCTTCATGTGTGCTTCTTTCTTGATAGTATCTCTTCTTCATTTTCACTTGTTCCCCTTATTTAAGTTATTGTAATAAGACACTTTTATTTTCAACTTGAATTTTTTTTTCATTGCTATTTTATGCATTTCTTTGCTTTAATGAAAAGACACGAGTTGTATCATGTTACTAAAAAGAGATCTTTGATAAGTGCTCAGATCAACTGGGGTGCGTAAAGGAAGTGCAAAAGTCTGGAGTTTATTCTTCCCTAAAGGAATGCTTAACTTCCCTGACTCTTCTGGTATGCTTTATAAAAGTGGTGCTCTGATTTTTCTACTTCTGTTGTCTTGCAGAACACAACCTGAGAATCTTCATTGACAGATGACAGATACTCCATGCATGTATAATAATTTGTTCTGGGGGAAATGCAGTGGGGTGAGATTAGAGGCAGTATAGGACAGTCATTGCCTACATAAACTTGGCTCAGTATAGCCCAGGAGAGGTGGCTCATCTACTAAGCTTCTTTTAAACATGCATGAGCTTGAGTGAGTAATTAAGGAAGCGATTTCAGATAGATATTTAAATAGTGCTTTTGGAAGAATCATGTGAAGTGTTGGTTAGGATTTGGGGAGGGAGGCAGTTAGGGTAAAACTGTGTGAAGGGCTATTCCAGTCCTTGGGGAATACACAGGTCCCATGCCACAGATTTCCAAACTGTTTCCTCAATAGTCCATTTTATTAGAGGGTTCTGGAAGGACTTTTGAAATGCAAGCTGATAATCTATTTTTTCACTGTGTGTAGAAGAAAACCAAAATTATTCTCAGTGTTGTTAACTACTGTATGGCAAGGGAGGGGAGGATGTGACAGTTAAAAAGAAAATCATCATGCCCCCTTGGAGATCTGTATCTAGTCATTAGTGTGATAGCGGATACCCTTCCTTGTAGTCCTGCTAGGATTATTTTGAGTTCTCATCTTTGTGTTTAGAGTTGTATTGTGCAAGACTGATGAGATCAAGCTTTGGAAGTTAGCTTAGAGCTGCTGTAGCCTTTGCTTGTTCTGCCCTTCCTATCCTTCCGGTTTTTATTCAGCAAATGTATACAAATGTGAATACAGAGATTGTCCTCATATCAAATGTCTCCATTTGAGGAAGAAGGTAGAGTTCCTCTCTTCTGTCCCACACCTGGCATATGGTAGCATTTATCCAGTTCTGTTAAGGAGTGCAGAAGACTTGTTTTAGCATATGATAATAAACTTCTCATAGCTTTAAAATAAACAGAATTAAACTAGAGTCAGAGTTAACTAGGTCTTTAGCAATGGCAGTCCTTGAGAGAAGCTCTTAAATTCCTCTTTAATGATCCACCAAATATTTGCTTGTGGTCATCAGGAGCTGACAAATCCATACAGTGCTGTGTCTCTCTACAGATTCCTGTGCTTGAGTTAAATTGTCTCAAGTGCAAATGATCATACTAAATAGCAGCGCTTAAACAGCACAATCAAAACATATTTGTGTGAGAGCTGCATCCCCTTTGCTGCTGGGAGCACCGGCAGCATTAAACACCAGCAGCTTAAATCTGGATCCCCTGACTGGCCTGCTGGTTCATGTTTAGGGCCTTACCTAATTCAGGCTTGCTATTTCTGTGTGGAACAGAAATAGATGCATTCAGATGTAAAGTTGCCTGCTGCCCTTTAGGGCAGAAGTTTATTTGGAAGCGGTATTCTGCTTTTGCTTTGAACCTGTGAATTGAAGGCAGTGCATTGTTGCAAGCTGCAAGCCCAGATACTCTCTAAAAGCGGCTGAGGGAAAAGGAAATAGTAGTTACTTGCTGCTACATAAGATGAAGAAAGGAAATGGGAGCCTCCCATAAGTGCAGCCACTAAGCAAAGTAGTTAAAAATAGCTGCTTTTCCCCTCTAAGCGTTTGTCTAAGTTGCCATAAATGTTGTTGTTTCTTGGGAGCTGGAGACAAGTCTCATTCCCTGGATTTTCTGTTCTGAGACACCAGTTGTGTTTTGAGAAACTATGCTGTGCACATCAGTGATTATTGTAGTACAGATGTTTAAAAGAAAAAAAAACATTGAGGCCTAACTGTGATTGTAATGAGGAAGAGCATCAGGGTACTTACAAACTGCATAGACAATGGATGGAAGGAGGACCACAGTGAGATGAAGTATCTGGCTTAGATGTTGCTGTTGCCACCAGAAAAGAGGAACACATCCCTGGTTTGCTGGCTCCCCCTCCATTGTTGTCCGCTTCACCATTTTGGGTTTCCTTCATTGCGATCCCAGATGTTTTTTTAGACAGCTCATAATTGAAAGCTGGTTGTGAAAGCATTGTACTTATTAAAACTACACTTATGGAGAAAAGTTTTGGAAAGTGGTGGTTTTACCACAAACCATACAGCTATTAGAGAGACCAATTTTTAAATGAGATTTTGTTTTCAGAAGGCTTAGAAATATGTTTATTAATTTCTTACCACTGTTAACTGCTCTGTTTCAATGGTCTACAAATAGTTAAAAAGAAAAAAAACATTTTAATTTGAAATGTATTTTGGAGTGTTTTACCTTGCGTTTTACTTTACTGCTGATTGAATTCTGCATTGTTAAACTGAATTTTTAATAATCATTCCTGGCCTCTCAGTTTCTTCGATTCATTACCCCAAGCAGGCCACAAATTCCAAATATCTGGCATCATCCGTTCATCCTTTTTGTCTGTTTGATTGAGCTGCTCCTATGAAGTGTAATAAACAGTTAAGAGAGCTGAACAAATGACTCAATAGGGTTGTTTTGGTAGTGTGTACAATTGCCCAACTACCTGAATATATTTTAATGATTCAGCAAAAATGTGATGCTTATTTTGTAGGCACATGGTGGATATTCCTTATTTTAGATGAAAGTTCTAAATTCTAATTAAATTAGCAAATCCGAATGTCTGTACTCTGACATGCATTCCTGAATTTCTTAGAAGCAGCAGTAAACTAGAACATTCCCTATGTAACCTTTTTTTTCCTTTTCTTTTGACAGTGAGTATCCTTAGTTTATTGCAAGAAGAAACAAACTGTAGGGACATGAGCACATTGCTGAAATTTCATGACTCTTATTTCCTTTTTTGATCTTTGTGTATTTCCTTTGTGTATTTTCACTTTTTTTCTGTTTTCTGCCAAAGGTTCTCAAAGTGCCTGTTCTGCCTTTGTAGGAGAGAGAAGAGGTAATTTGAGCCTTAGCATTACCCAATTATGTTGCTGTAATGTTTTGGTGTCTAATACTAGTATATGTAAAATTACTCTGAGCCCTGCCTTGCCTGTAGATTTTAAGAAACTCCTAGACACAAAGGACATTTAAACAAGCATATGAAACCCTAGGAGTGTTTTCTGTCAACCTTTCTGAAACTATTTGTTTTTCACATTTCAAGTAGTGAGTTTAGCATTGGCATCTCTCTGAGTTAAATATTAGAACTCCATGTATGCCTTTCTCACGTGGAAGATTAAGCCTTGCCAGGGATTGGCATTTTCTTTTATGAAATATTTCTTTTTTTTTAAAGAAAACAATTTTCTAAAGAAAACAATTTGTTTTCTTTAAAACAAATATTCTCTGCTAATGCTATCCTCATTAATGCTAAAGAATAATAAGAATCAATAAAAGTGGATTCTATGGGTTTACTCAGATATTGCCAATTTCTCAGCACAGCTTGGTGAATTTTAAGCTATACATACTGTGATGAAACTTTAATGTAGTTGTGGCTATTTTTTTCTTGTAATCAACTAATTTCCATTCCCTTCCTATTTGTAACTGGCATCATTTTTGCTAACAGTGATCTTTATAAGTTTTCTAAAGGCTTGTTTTGTGTGAGAGAGAGAGCAGGATGATTATTGGTCTTAAAATTAGTGACTTTGGAATTAGGAGACAACATTTTAAGTTGTCTTTGGACAGTTGGAACTTTTAGTATCCAAGTTCCAAAAAGGAGGACATAGTGTTATTAAATTTCTGGATTAAAATATGCTAGTTGCCAAGCCTTATGCTATTGCCATATTAAAACCGCTACGAATGGACTATGAACACTGAACTATAGTTTCTTTACTGTGGGAGAAACATGGTACCTAGGTGAAGATTTCAAACGGTATTAGTGAAAAAGTATAGTAGAATTAAAAGTAAAAAAAAAATCTGTTGTGGCATACAGATGAACAGTGGATGAAAATAGAAGAACTTATGCTATAGTATTGCTTCATAGATTAAAAGGTAAGAGATCATAATAACAGATAAGTTTATTTCGATAATCTATTGCTTGGAAACACAAGAAATGCTATGCTATTGAGGTGCAGGAATGCTGATGATATAATTGGAGATAAACTTGTTGTCCTTCCTAGTTTTCCTCTGTGGCTGAATGGCTGAAGCCCTAGGCACTAGACTGGTGTGAAGAATGAATCCTCCTCACAAGAGATATGTAATAAAGACCTCTTTAAGCATATTAAAAAAAATAAATAATTGAGTTAGTTGTTGGGAAAGGTTGGACTAAGAGGAATTGTTTTCTGCTTGAAGTCTGTGTAGATTTCTTAGTAAATCTAAGAAGCTGACTTTTGGTGCTAGCCTGTCACATACACACAGTCTGTGCCTAATTACCTGTCTCTGCCATAGTATGAACATGTTCCTCTCTGGACTGTTTCCCTTGTAGCGTTTTGTTTGGTACCAAACACAGAAGAAGCTGCAGAGGACCAATTAATTAAAAGCACATTGTATCTTACCATTTTTGTTAGTTGATGTAATTCTCTAAATACTACTGAATACAAATGTAAGCTAGCTGTTGAAGTAACTGAATTCTATTAAAACCAGACATTTTGAAGAATTGGCATCTCTCTGTTCAATTAAATAATAGAACTCCATGTAGGCCTTTCTCATGTGGAAGATTAAGCCTTGCCAGGGATGGGCTCTTTCTTTAACAAAAGATTTGTTTTCTTTAAAACAAATATTCCCTGCTAATGCTATCCTCATGAATGCTAAAGAATAATAGAATTCTTGGTCTGTGCTGTTGTGAGTGCCAGATCCTGGTGAGATAAGGCTGTGTTATCTACTCATTTTTCTGATGAGTGGCTTGCCTCAAACCGTCTTTGGTTGTCTTTGGTGGAATACTGCTTGAGTTTTGCACTTGTAGACTCATCCTGTAGCCACTGGATAATCCTTGTATCCCTGGTTCTGCCCAAATTATTTCATCCTATGGGATAAAAAGTAACTTCAGTTTCAATTTGAAAATTGTTGCTTATCTGATTGGGACATTGGTTTAGTAAATGTGCGCTGCTAGAAACTTTAGCGTCTGGATATGTTTGCAAAGCCTTTCTCCCTTAAAGTGTTGCACCTTATTCTGTAATGCTGATTCTCTTTATACCACATTTCATATCTTATCAGTATCTTTGGATGAATTAGAGGACCATTTAATGATGTTCTTAAAAATTTGAGATTTAAGTCCAGTGATTACCAGGAAAGAGAGTACAAAGAGCCCTAAGGAAGAAGAGAGAAAAGACTGAAAAATCCGTTAGGCTGTCTTGCATCGGGGTACCCTGGTGAGAGCTGCTTGCAATAAGGATATGGAAGCAATTAATTAGAAAAAACAAACCAACAACCAACCAACTTGACTTAAAGTAGCCTATGTCAAAATGTAACACTAGGGTAGGTGGAATCAAAGTTGCTCTAAGAGCTTCTGGATTTTAATGATCTTCTAATAAAGCTTTTGTGTATGTTAAAGTTACGGAATCAAGCATCATTGCTGGTAGCACCAAGCATCGTTCCTGTGGTGACAAAGGCCTGCAGGAGTACTGGATGGGAGGAGAAAAGTGAGAGTGTCATTGAAGGATGTATTTGCTTTAACTCCTAGGCAAATACTTATATTTGCTAGTTTTTCGGGTTATTTTGATTTGATAGCAGATTTTTTAAGGATGACACATCCTGCTTAATCAATTTTCTCTTGTCCATAGTGATAAGCACGAGATATTACACTCAATTTCTTATAGGTAAAAGTGGGTTGTCTGTGAGCTTGTGGTGAAACACTGCTCTGAACAGATTCAGTTTTGTGTGACTAGACAGTGTCAAAGCTGTCATGGAGGTAGTGTAAGTCCGTGTCTCTGCTCTTGTTTTCATCAAGTGTGGGAAATATAAGTCATGTAAAGCTGTAGCACTGTAAATGTGATCATGGGAGTTCTCAGGAATAGCTGCATCCTTGCTGTTCTTGTGATTTTCATCAAGTACAGAGCCTCTGCCGAGAAAATCTGTGGACTTCACAAAACCGATGGAGTAATAAATCATTACCAGAATATGATAAATGACTTGGAGTAATCCACTTGTAAACTGCAATCTCACAAATCTTATGTGAAATGACCCA